CCGTACCTTGCCTGCCCCGGCAGCCTGGAGCTCCCCAAACCCACCCAGCCGACCCCAGTACACCGGGTGCCGACCCCAGTACACCGCCAGCACCCGCCTGCCCATGGCAGTGTTCCGCATGGAGACCCCCGACCACCCAACCCCACCTTGCTCGCTGAGGATGCAGCCCAGGGACCATAGAGCCACTTCGGGGTGCCCCAGGGTCCCTCTGAGGGTGCTGGTGCAGGATGAAGGGGAAGGGAGGTGGGACAAGAGAAAACCCGGAGCCCAGGTTTCACCCATCCCCACGCTGGGGGCCACGCGGTCACAGCGACACAGGCTGAGAAGATGATGGCACTGGGGTTTGGGTCAGCTCCTGCCCCAGTGGTGTCTCTCTGGAGACCCTGTTTCACAGGGGAGCCTGAGGTGTCCCATCTGCGTCTCACCAAGACCAAAAGCGGTGAGGTGGGGACAAACATCTGCCAGGAACCTTTGCCTCGGTGGCATGAGGCTGGCCGGAGGGATGGTGGATGCCGCGGGGTTGGAAATGCGGCTCCCAACAACTGGAGAACCCACCCCCACCTGCAGACCCCCACCTGGCCTCTCCTAGCACTTCTTCAGCAGAAGATGAAAGAAAAAGTAACTCTCTCCTCCCTGGACCAGGCCCACGATAGACTTGCACCATCTAAAGGCTTAAAGCAGCCATAACTTCGGTCTCTCCCACAGTTTGACTCCGTGCGTCCAAGCACTCACTGCACGGCAAAATGGGGATTTTTTGGGGTGGCTTTCAAAGCTCCCAGACACCGATGTGAGTTTTATGGCTCCTCTTCTCCCTTCAAGACACAGGAGCGCAGGAAGAGGTGCAGCACCCCGTCCCGGAGAGTCCCACGTTCCCCCTCGGGTAACACCCTGCGCCCAGGGAGGGCTCCTGCCCCACCAGTGCACCCATGGGTCGGCACATCCCCAGTTTCCAGCATCTCGGGCGCAGTCAGATGAAGGTCACCACCATCTCTTCACCGCCTCCGGGGACAGCGGGACCAACCAGCGACACCCTGGAGTGGGGGAAGGTGAGTTGGGAGAAATGCACCCAGTGGAAAGACCTCAACCAGCCCAGCGGGACCTCTTTCTCCAAGGAGCGGGGACCCCTCAAGCTCCGTGCAGCCCGTCCCCTCGCCGCGCAGGCTGCGCCGTGTGTTTTCTTGCCCCGCTCGTCCCCGGCAGAGACAGCTGCAGCACAGGCAGCCCCCGCTGCTCCAGCGTAATGCGCTCCGGCTGTCCCTAACCCCACCTGAAACCACACACAGCTTTTGTCTGGGGCTCTGCTGCCCACAGGGAACAGACACTTCCAGAACCCCCCTGAAAAGGAGGTAAAAAGGAAAAGAAAAAAAAAAAAAAAAAGTCTTCCCTGACCAGGCTTTCACCTTAGCTCCAGGGTTTTCCAGGCTGCAGACACTATCTCATTTCCCCCCTGCCCCCTCCCAGCCCCGGCAATTACTACTTAAGCTGTTAAAACAAGCGTGGCCAGTCTGGTACGAAGTGGAAAATCTGCTCCTAAGGGAAGCCAGCGGGCAGGGGAAGAGGGAGGTCAAGGGGAGCTTGGGCTGGGAGCCAGAGAGACAAGGATGGGGCGAGGAGAAGTTTCCCTCCACCCCAGGAGCAAACCCCCTTCCTGGGGGCTCTCGCCGCTGCCTCCCAAGGCCAGCCCCAGTGACACCCCGATGGCGACACTCCGAGCTCCCGGCAGCATCTTCTCCCTTTCAAAGCCATTTATCCCAGCTTGTTCCAGTCTGGGTAGGATGGGGGATTACCATCACAGCACTCCGTCCTCGCTCCCCCAGGGTCACCCGGACCCAAAGAAGCGATTTAAGGTTGTGACGGCGCTTGCAAAACCCAACCCCGTGGGCCAGGGACTGCGCAGAGCCCCACGCGAGCCCCCGGGGAGCCCGGCTTCCTACAGCCGCCTACGATCCAAAATGTCTCAACAGCCTTTTCTTACAGCTCTGCTACCCCAAGATCAGCAATTCTGCAAGAATCAAGCCTTTTATAAGAACAGATTTAGCTTCTGAATGTGTAGAGAAGAGCAAAAAACCCCCAGAACCAGGAATGATGAGTTTTAAGAATCCCCAGAAAATGTAGTGTTATTTTGTGGATGATCTGGAAGTGGCAATACACACCTGCACCACAAACAGCCCCAAATCCCGTTTTGAGCAAAACTACCACCTTTTCCCTTCAACCTCTTCCCAGCCCCCATGAAAAAAAAAATAAAGATTCGATACAACCTCTCCACCTTTCAATTGGTAGTTTCCAACAAAAAAAAAAAAAAGACTTTAATTTATACAAAACAAAACCATATATAATCAGTTGAACAACACTGACTGTACAAAGGAATAAAAAAATAAAAGGATAGTCCAAAAAAACCATCAACTCCGGAATGGTACAAGTGTTGGAGAGCAGCTACAGACTAGTGTTGACATCAGATGCAAGAATCTTTTCCTTTTAAATTAAAAAAAAAAAAAAAAAACCAACCCAAAACAAACCAGTAACAAAAGAGGTTTTTTTGCTGAGCGAACGCACCAGGTAAATCTTTCATCCTCACTCGGCACAGGGTCTGTCGAGACCTTACTTACAGGGTGAATACAAAAAACATGAACCGCAGGGAAAAAGGCGTAGGGAGGTGTCGCACGTGGCAAAGCCAAACCAAGCAGAGGTACATTGAGGTTTTGTTTTTTTTTTTTTTGAGCCATGCAGCAGCTTTGTGATTTCGGGAAGGAAACCTTCGGCCCCCTCTTCGCCCCACGCACCGGTGCCCGGCAGCAGCCGGCGAGGGGCCCCCGCGGTGCCCGGGTGGTGTTTTGCAGGAGAAGTCGCCTTTGGGGTGCCGCGGCGCATCACCTGTCGGCCGTATATCCCCAGGCTGCTGAGCCAGCGATTGTCTTCTGCTGTGCGTTAAGTGATGGGAAACAGGTGCCAGCCATCCCAGACAGGTTCTCGAAATCCCCCCGGCCTCCGTGCCACCGCGCCGAGCTGGGCTGCGGCTTTGCTCTTGAGCCAAACCACCACTACAAAGGATTCTTCTCCCTCTTCCATCTGCCCGGGGTTTAATTCTCTCCTCGCTCATTTGAGCTGGGCGATAAAGCACGCTAGGGACGAGCCAAGAGAGCGAGCCCGGCAGTGTAGTTTGCTCTGTGGAGCGGGGAGGGGGGAAAAGCTCCTTCACCTCCCACCTCAGCTCAGGAGCAAGGGGAAGGAGATGTCCCCCGTGGAGGGATGCGCCCCCGCCTGCCGCAGGGTCCGTCAGCCGCGCACGACACGCTGCGGCTTCATCCTACCCATGCGACGCAACAAGCTGCTCGGGGAGGAGGGGGGGGAAGAAGAACAAGCCCTCGGGGAGCTGCGAAGACCAGGAGGAGGATGGCAGCACTGCACGGGCTGCTCTCCTTGCCGCGGAGGCGGCCGGCCCAGCACCAGGAAAAGCAGTTCACTTTCTACCGCGCTACTCACAAGCGACGCGTCCCTGGGCATCGACGAGAATCTGTCGACGTAGCTTAAGTCCCGCTGCCAAACGACGCTTAGCTTCCGCAATAAGGGCTAGGTGTTATTTCTAAGTTTCCGGGTGAATTTCCAGCATATGATGAGCCATGGGACGAAGGCAGGGAAGCACATGGCACAAAGATCTTCTCCCCCAGCACGTGCACGTCTTGCCGCTGAGCACGCAACGCCCCTCTAAAATGCAGGAGCGGTCCTACAGAGCAAAGCAGTTCGCTTTCCCGATTTCCTGGGGCTGCCACGGGAGCCGAGGCCTTCGCCATGATGGGACCTGAGGGTGGGGTGGGGAAAATCGCTGTCTTCCCCACACAAACCTTTCGCCTTCCTGGTCCCTGCTCCTTCACCCTCCAGTGGGAAAAAGCTGCTTCTGTCCTTTCCCCGCTTTCATCCAGGAGGAGCCATGGCAGCACTCGGCTCAGGCAGAACGTCTTTGGAAAAGCAAAGCAAGAAGCAGCCGGGATTCAGGGGCCGGCGCACGAGGTGGTGTCGTGGATGGTGGGATCCAGAAGCGACAGCCAAAGTTTTGCAGTAAAATTCAGTGTTTTTCCTCTGCTTTAGGCACGATGCTCCCACCCTCCGCTCCTCAGTCCCCGAGCGGCCACGCATCGGAAGGTGCAAAGCATCAGTCCGGCCTCAGAGCTGCCTCCTCGTCCCGCCTGCCGCAAACAAACCCCGAGACCCCGACCTCTCCGCTCTGCCCCTCCATCCACTCACCTCCCAACCCTGCCTTGGGCACTCACAAGTTTTAGGGAATGATTGGAATAAAGCAGCTTGGGGTACGTTACATACGAATCCTTCTTTTTGTCTGCATATGTAGTATTTAAAAAAAAACAAAACCCAACAAACCCAGCACAAGCCCAGGTGGCGATTAAAGTCTCTTAAAGCATTTGTAATATTTTCATCGGAAAATCCTCCACTTCTCCCCCTTCGCTGACACTGGGAAAGTTCATCCAGTGCTTATATTTACACGGCTGCATAAAATTTTCCCTGACTGCTTCTTAAAAAAAAACCTTAAAAAACAGGTGAGATATATATATATGTATAATATTTACATCAATAAAGGAAGAAGGCAAGCAGAACGCTTCCTTCCCCTTTCCAATCGGCCAACGCTTGCCTTGTTTCCTTTGCTTTTGGCAACAGCAGGTTAACATCCTGGCGAAAACTGTCATTTGTCCCCTGTCCATATTTCTTTTTCCCCTCCCCTACATCCAACCATCACTATTGCACCAGCAATCTGTTCAGGAGTCCAAGAGTTAAAGTTGCAGCACAGACTCTCCTTGCCTACTCCCTTAAGCCTCTCAATCTTCCATTAAATCCATTTCTCCATTCAGACTGGATGAGCTTTTTTCTCCCCCCCCGCTTCCCCCCTCCCCAACCCGGCAGCTGCTGAATTTTCCACCCTGGGCCGAGAGGCAAAGCCCAAAGCATTCTTGGAGGGTCACTTGGCAAGAGTCCTCTCCCCGCCAGCGCTGCGAGATCCAGCCGGCACTGTGCTTCGGACGCGAAGCCAAAACGTGAGCACATTCCCAACGCTTGCCCATGCGCCATCGGGGGAAAAAAAAAAAACAACACCAAGCGACTGCGGCCCATCCGAAAGGATCCAGTCGAAAAGGGTTAAGTGTGCAAACAGCTGTACATCGGTGGGTGGGTGTGGACACCTTAGAAGCTCACAGCGCGTCCATCCTGCTAAGAGATCTTGCAGTTGTTGCGTGAGCAGTTCTGTGGGGGGCTCTGGGGCGGACGAATGGATTTGGATCTCTTCAAGCTGTTACCTTTGCTGCTGCTCCCGCCCCCGCTGCTGGCCAAGGAATACGACCGGCCGTGCATCATCACCGCGTTCATCCCGTTGGCCATCGAGAAGGATTTCAGGTGACTCTTGATGGTGACGGGCAACGGCAGCTTGTCAATGAGGTGGACAGGGGTGCAGGAAACGATGGCGCGGCAGCACAGGTCCTGTAAGCTGAACACTGGTGGGAGAAAAGACCAGACCAGTCAAGGGCTGAGAGATCTCAAGGGTTGCCTTCTCCCTACAATTATTCCTTATGCTGTTCAGTTTCTGCTCCTGTGGGGAGAGAAGTTAGTAACGATGGCATAGGAGCCTTGAATAGGGAGCCGATTAGTTAGGACAAAAGCTTGGGAAACTCCAGGTAAGCTTTGCCTTAGAGGTTAGTGCTTGGAGGGACACCAGCTTTGATGTCAACACGGGGCTTTGACACCACCACCCCTCCTCTCTGCACAGCGCTCAGGACAGGCAGCGCCTTGCTCGTGTTCCTGCCAGACACTTGGGCTTCTCAGGCCATCGTTTGACATGCCCAGGGAAGGAGGCAACAGGGTCAGCAAGCCCTGGAGCAGGACGGTCTCACTCAGGACCTGCTCGGGGAGCAGCAGCCATGGGGCCAGCTCTCTCCAGAGCGCCTGCAGCAACAGAGATCCCACCAAGCCAGAAGACGACTGCCCTTTCAGGCTTCCCAGCGTCCTCTTAGCTCGGCGTACATCATGTGAGCCTGCTTGGGGAAGTCTACTTGGAGAGGATTTCCCAGCAAGCAGCCACACGAGGGCACGCTTTCACCTCCAGCCTGCTCCGAAAGCCATGCTGCTATTCCCAAGCAGGCAGCCCCTATTCCCAAGCAGAGGCAAGTCCTGCCTCTGGAAGAGGTTCAGGAGAGGAGCCCAGTTCCTGCTCGCCATCCCTCCATGAGCTGGAGATGGTGGCATGGCAGCCAGGTTGGGGGCAGGAGCTCACGCAAGACAATTTGGCAACTGGGGCCGGCAAAGAGGATTTTCCCTCCCTCGTCAGCAGAGGCTGAGGACCCACATGAAGGCAGGTCACCCCAGGAGGGCAAACGTCCTGCTGCTCAGCCTGCCGGTGGGGCACATCGCTACCTCCAGCCAGGACCGTGGGACCTAACACTATTTTGCTTCAAACACAACAGGCTGAGACGTAACGTGGAGTCTGCTCGCGCATTGCCACACTGCACCACACGTGCGTGGACACGTGGAGTACCCCTTTCAGCTCCCTGGGCTCACTCTGCTTCCACATCCCTCCAAAACAGGAGACACAGGCTGAGGCAAGGGTAAGGACAGAGGTGCTTACGCTTGGATTCATCCCACACAGCCATTTGATTGAAGTACTTTCAAGTTGGGAGCTTAATTGCCCTCAACCTCATTCAGAATTAAGTAGAGAGGTGTAGGATGCCCCGGAGCAATTCAGATCCCAGACATGCTGAAGTGCCCTCTGGAGCTGCCCATCCCTCCCTGCCGCCCGCCGGGTTCCTGTGCTAGTACAGGCAGCTTGTTGTGGCTCAGCTTCAACTTGTCTGACCCGCGGCATTTCTCCGTGTCAGGTGCTTTCAGATCCCACAGCTACTAATAAGCCTGCCTCCCACCTCGGCAGTCGGTCCTACCCCTCCCTTTCAGCCCAGCCAGCTCTCACGCCTTCCCCACGTGGAGCATCTTCCTCGCTACTGACCTCTGTTGGGTCTCCAGATCTTCTCCATGCCGTGCCGCATGAGGACGATACGGGACAACTCCGTGAAGGACTCTATGACGTTGAAGTTGCAGAGGGGGCTGACCTCAAAAAACGTCATGCAGTTCTTCTCCGCGTAAGCCCGGGCCTGCTCCGTCGGCACCTGCCGCTTGAAGGCGAGGTGAAGCCTGTTTCCCACCAGGATCCGCGGGACACCGGGGGCATGCTTCAAAAAAAGGAAAGACGTGGAGAAATCACGGCTTGTCCTTAGTAAGGGCAGCCTACGCCCAGTATTCTGCTCAGCTGCAATAGCAGTGAAGGGCAAAGAAATAGAAATGGTGTGACTGAGGGACTGCCAAGCAGTACTCCTCCTACGTGACAAGGAAGACTGATTTATTTCCTCCACAATCCATTTTAGAAGGAACGTTCCCATCTTTCTTGGCTATTCCCAAACCCTTTCCTACTGCTGCAGAGGTGGAAGGCAGGCACTTATCCCTTTGCTTCGCTTATTAGTAGACTGCCATCGCTTCCTCTCCATTCTTGTCCCCATCTCAGAGGTGGTACCTCCACAGATTTTTGCTATAGACCACTACTCGTGTTCTTCCATTCAACTTACCTCATCTATTTCCTTTATCCATCGGTCTATCCCATCAAAGGACCAGCGATTAGTGATGTCGTACACCAAGAGGATGCCCTGGTGGAAGCAAAGGAGCAATCAGGAGGTTTCATAGTAGGCAAAATGAAAGGGAGACACACCTGAAAGACCACTACATACGCAGAAACCAAAAGGCCGAGGGACAGAACATCGCTCCAGCCACATTATTTGTGTGCTTGCTGGGGCTACCATTGAGATAAAAGGTCTGTACTAACTCCATTCTGGACTATTAGGGAAGGTTTTACTCCCATTTTGGCTTGAAAAATCCTTTGTTCATAAAGCACACCCATCTTCAGCACAGCAGGGGGGCACGAACTAGATGACATTCAAGGTCCCTTCCAACACAAATCATTCTATGACACGATGATTTCCCGCTCCAGAACCTGTCTCATTCTGTCACCCCTTTGCTGTCAAGGAAAAAGTTGAGTGATGCCAATGAGCAACACATGAACAGCCATCCCTAAGCAGGACTGAGATCCCGTGACCGGGATCCACGCTGGGCTTTGCCGAAGGCAGCCAGTGCTGCTGATTGTCACTGCTGCACGGGCGGAGAACGAACACAGTACAGCGATGCTGGCAAACCCCAGAGGGTCAGACCAAAGGTCTCGCCGTAGGACCTTCCCCCCTGCCCTTTCTTCTGGAAGGAGAGGTACCTCCACGCCCTCAAGCCCACATCCATCTTGCCTGGACACCACCCGCATCCACGACTCGCTTCCCTGTCGCCTCTCGAGGTGCAGCACAACGATGCTGGTAACCAGGACGGGCACAACTCAAGACAGGGAGGTTTATGCCTGCAGCCGTGACGACACAGAGCAGCACCTCAGAGGGTCTCTGCCCTTGCCCCGAGCCCAGCTAGCGGGACTTGGGACCACGACCAGACTGCTAGCCACCACTCAGGTCCACAGCAACTCTTAACAAATGAGCTTTTCTTGAATCGAAGTATTTTTGAGGACAGACACACGGAAAATAGGCTACGCACGGCCCTGCAGGCACACAAGTCAGCGCATCAGGAGCTGCCTCTTGGTACCAGTTGGGCACACACAGCTTTTAGAGAATTGTCTTTAGCAGCAGCCTTTCTGCAACTCCCCCGTGATTTTTCTGACTTCTTGTCACTCTCTTCTTTGCGATCGAGAACATTTCAAGTGACAACAGGCACTTGAAGATGCCCTGAAACGGGAACTACAGAGGAACAGATGATCTCATGCTGCGAGAGGAGGCAGCGCAGCCGGGAACGCAGCGCCGGATGAAAGGTAACCCAGCAGCAACAGGACTAAGCTAAGGGCAAAACAAACCAGCCTGAGCTAGACTCCAGGATAACAGATCACGTAGCAGCAAGCTCGGCAGAACCAGTCTTCTCTGAATCAGGGGTATCCTCCAGGAACAGCCATCCCTACGGCAAGTGCCCAGCGCAAGCAAAAGAGGTGTTAAGTCGGCAAAGGAAAGTCTGAGCTGGCAGCCTAGTCCTCCCTCGGAGATGCCGAGAAGCAGCACAGGGAAGGAGGGAGCTGACAAACTGCCTAGCATCCGTCCTGCTACAAGTCAGAGACCATCAAGCGCCCTCACGTAGCAGTGGAGTTGCTCCTTTATTCACTGAAACGGCAAATTCACCACCCAGATGGGAAACACAAACTACCCAGTCCTCCTGAAACACAGCTTTACAGTATTTGCTGCTGCCAAAGCCCGTGACGGACCGGGGGAAGCCTGTACAGAATCCATGTACAAAGACGTGATGTATCTCAAGTTTCTCAAAAAAAAATATAATCAGCAGCATGAGATCTGGAGCACGCAGGAATGATAAAACACGAGGGTGTCTGAGTCACAAAGGCACTTGAATCCTCATAAATAAAGTTATGTCTTGAGCTGGCACTCGAAGCGTTCCCCGCACTGGGAAAAGCAGCCTTTCCCCGAGTACGCTGGGTGTGCTGCGACGTCGTTTGCCTTTCTCTCAGAGCTCTCTCAGAATAAGCAGCTTTCACAAAACCTGCCCAATTTTATCGTTTTCAGAAGTCGCGGTCAGAGCAATTCTTGAGCTTTACCCCAACCTCACTGCACAGTTCTTCCACCACTCTCCAGGCGAAGCTTGCTTTTTCTGTCCTTGCCGCCCCTCCAACAGCTACGTATCTGCGTTTGTACCATTTGCAGAAAGGCTCAAATGTACAAAGGAAAAAAAAGAAAAAAAAAAGAAGGGGAGAGGGTACAAAAGGCAAGTCATGCGTGGTGGGTTGGTTTTCATGTCCGATAGCCCAAGGTGAAAAGCGAGCCCTTCCAAGTTTGGGTTTGAGGTTGTTCAGAGGGACCCGACAATGAGTTTTTATAACTGCAGAAGTATCTGTGGGGTGGGGGGAGGAGACACATCTTCAGCTTCTTCCAAGGAAAGCCTGGAGCTCGTGCCTAGAGTCGGTAATTATTTGCAGTGTCATTTCTAGAACAGCCAAAAAAATTTCATACTCAAAAAGAACTGGAGGCTGTTTTTGTTTTGGAGGAGAAGAGAATCAGTTTCTCCTAGGTTTAGATAGGAGAAAAATTAGAATGAAGTAATGATTTTCCTTAATTAAAGAACTCCACAAACCCAAAGATACTGCTTTTCAAGAACCTAATCAAGAAATGCCTACTACCAGGATTACTCACATTTTAAGTGCATTTTTTTTAAAAGAAGAAAAAAAAAAAAAGGAGTCTGAACTTTCTTTAAATTTTGTTATATTTGTTTTGACTTCTAGCTTCCAATGCTGCACGTGTGAATGAATGAGAGTCGGGAAATAACAGAGCAAAAAGTTTGATGACCCCCTTTCCAAGACAAACTGCCAGCAAGTTAAATAAAGTCTACTTATTTCATTTCTGGATCGACAAGTTCCTTTAGCCAAGAGAAACAGACCCAAGACCTAGTCTGTGAAGACTGCTTTCTGCCAGAAACATGCTCTAGGAGGAGAGAGCTTTTAAGCCTGCTGGTAGCTGTAATCTGGATCTTCTTTAAATAGGAATAAGGATAAAACATCAGCAGAAAGGCAGCCCCAAGTTCTCAGCAGCAGGGTGGAAGGTCAAGACCACGATTTCCAAATGCAAGAGACACCCCACTGTCTGCCAGCTTACCCTCCAAGCCATAACGCAGCTCCGGGCACGCACAGTTGGAGTGAAGATTGTCAAGGAAAGCTTCCCAAAGGTCAGAAGACACCAAGGCCAAGTTGTTTAACGCCTTGCTTCTGTCCTCATCCTCCCCAGCACGGGTATTAAGACCAGCTTTACTTTTACTCAGCAGAAGATGGAGGAAGCAGTCTTAAAAACCTTGGGCCAGCTCGTGGTGCTGCCAGATCACCTCATGCTTCTTCCAAGTAGCGCTGGCATGCTCCAGACACCACGTTTCTAGAGCACACGTCCCAAATACACTTTGTCATTACCATTTTCTCCCCTAGAGAGAAGAGTACACAGACATGCACGCAGACAGGGAGCTGGCTCCATCTCTGCGGACCGTTCCAAGTAAGATCTGTTGGGTTTTTTTTTTCCCCCTTTTTTTTTTTTTAAGAAAAGTCTCCTTTGGAATAATGTGCGCAGAATTTTAATTTACACAACTAGACAAATGAACAGTTTCCCCTTTGCAGCCTAAATTGTTCTCTAATTGCCTAGATGGCTGTCAACACCATAATATCTCCATACCTTTCAATTTTTAGTTTCACACAGCGTCTTTGTAAGCCTTACGTACCCCAGGTTCCCACAGCATGAAGTAAAGAGCTGCACGCTCAGGTTCTCAGATCAAAGGTATCCTGGACCCCTCACCAGCCCCCCTCCCCCCCTAAAAGCCTTTCTTCTTTTTCTCCTCAACCTGCCTACAGGCTTCTGCGTGAGCTGGAAGAGAACTGGACTCATCCCCAGACCCCTCCTGGGCCTTTTCACAATTGATTTTCAAAGTTCATTTCCACTCTGGTTTTGTTCTGCACTATTGGGATTGGCACAACCCTAAGCACACCAGTGACAGAAATTCCCACACGAGTACGTCGAGCAGTGAGCAAGGAACACAGGGACATCACCTGTTATCATATCCAGCAGCACACATGGCTCCTTCCTCTGCCAA